TGAAAATTTGTTGTGTGCATTAGTTTTAGGTCCAATAGTGTTGAAATATTTGGTCTTAAAAGTCATATTTGGACCTAGGTTAAAAAGTCAATATTTTGGATTGACTTGTCAATTTGGTGAATTTGACTTAATTTGCATGCATGCATGGCTACTTTATATTTCTCATGTGTGTTTGTGAAACTTTGGAGGGATTTTAAAAATACATGCAAATAGAGATTAGGGTTTGAATATTTTATATTTTATCACACGTGCAAAATAACCTAGTTAAAATTTCATGTTGTTGTCTTAGATGACATTTTACATAGAAGAGACTTTGATTCAAGTTTTGGCTTGGCACACGGAGATATATTTTGGAACATAATTCGGACCTGAAATGGGACATAAATGGCATGATTTTTAAGGGAAAATAAGGCACACGAGAGGTTTCAATGCACTTGCATATAAGGGATCAAGTTAACTTGTTAAAGTTCAAGTTAATTGCAATGTATTTTAGAAGCTTCGAGGCAAATCTTAGATCTGAATTTAAGCTTCATTAAGCATGAATTCCAAGGCAATTAAGGGAGTATAAGAGCTTGTCATATAAATGCACATCTGGGATTAGAAGAGCAACATTGGAATTATCACCCAAGTAACTTGCAACCTAGACTACTTATAACCTCACTTGACCTAATAAATTGTGTTGAGTTTTTTTGCATCTTGTTTAGCAAGTCTCCCACCTAGAATTTTAGCCAAACACAAAATAACTAGGCTTAGATGAATTTTTCAAATGAAGCAAGTACATTTTCAGATTTCATCTTCATGTTCTTCAAATTCTCTTATTTCTCTCTCTATACTTCTACTCTCTCTTCCATATCTCTCAATCTAACCATCCAAATTGTACAAGAGCACCACCATTCTCCTCTTCTCTTCTTCCTCTTCAAAACCTAATACCTTTCACAAGGATTAAACCTTGTCTTCTTTGGGTAGAATTTATGGGAGATTCAACTATGGTTTTGGAGCTTCAGCTTGGAGATTGCTTGAAGATGCAAGGCAAGATTCTTGAAGGAGCTACTATGTAGAGAAGTAAACCTTGAGTTTGTATTATTTTCTAGCTAATTTTAAATTTCTTCTTTCTACTTTTTCTATCTAGAATTACAAATTTGTATGACTCTTTGAACTTGTAATCCCAAGTGATAATTCATATAATTGAGAGATGATTGTTGCAACTTGAGTTTTATTTTTTTTAGCGCATGATTTCAATCTCATGAAGTTTGTTCATAATCTTGACTTGCTTGATGAGACTAACATGTCTTCTTTCTTATCATAATCTTGCCAACTAGAATGTTTGTGAATATCTTCATGAATCATAATCTTGAGTATTTTGATTCCTACATATGTGCTTAATTTAATTAACTCAAGTTAGTAACACTTTCATTACACTTAATGCTAGCTAGGTTTTGGCACATTCTAAGACCATAATTATATATTAGAGTTAGTCAAGTTTTTAGCTAAATCTTGGTTAACATAACTAAGTCACTAAAACCAAAGAGAAGAAAGAGGAGACCACACTAACTATGTCATAATCAAATGAGGATAGGTGACCAAATTCACATAGGAGTTCATATTTTTAATAGGTTTTTACACACCAACTTTATTTACCTTTTAATTAGGTTAATTAGTTCATTTAGTTTTGAGGTTAATTTTGTCCTAAATCACTTTTATCTTATAGCACATTTCAAATCTAAATTTCTAACTAAACCTCTTCATAGAGGTCGACCTAAATTCACACTAATACTACATTAGTGTAGCTTAGTTTTATTTTGCTAGGATAGCAATAACTTTAGTCAAAGTGGTAATGCATAAATTTAAGAGATTATCTATTTATTCACAATTAAATTTCTATAAAGTCAATTATGGCCACCTTAAAATTTACAAGTGATTATCATTATATTTATATGTGACAATACGTAAATTTAAAGAAATTCTTGGATAGACCAGGTGTACCATGTCATTCATAACTCATCCAATAAAATTGCACCATTCAATCAAATAAAATATTATGTGTCATTATTTTTATAATAAAATATCTATTTGATTTCTTGCCTTTTCTTTTTCTATTATCACTAATATCAAAATTAATTTATATTCAATGCCATTTGAATATTATATTTTTATTGGATGGATCATGGATGATGTGGTATGTACCTAAGAATTTCTCCATAAATTCATGTAGTGCTAGTTCGTGTCCTTCCTCACAGCAATGGGTGGGAGGAGAGGCATAAGCAAATGGCCTCTTAAGTAGATAAGGCCAAGGAGAAACAATAGCAAAATTCGAAGAGAAGGGAAGGCTACCAACAGTAAATAAACCATGCTATCCAAGTTGATCGACTCGATGGCAACGCGGAGGATCGACTTGACTTCATTGGGTGACAAATGGATTATTAGAGACCTTTGTCATTTGATGAGATTCCTAACAACATCCGAATTGTTGGAAAATTTCATCGTCAATTGTGAGAAGGAGGGGACCCATAAAGGCAATCTTGAGTTTGAGATTGTGAGTGGAAGGGAAGCAGAGGATGGGAGAGAGGAGAGCCATGAATTGATGGAAGGGGAACTCAAGAAACCTCCACAATCTATTTGCACGGAGCCAAATCCAATCAAAAAAACCATTCCAAAGTTGATGTTTGAAAATCACCTTCATTTCGCATCTCCTGATTTTAAGATTTGTTCCCAAATTGCCTCCATCACCTCCTGATTTCTTGCGCGCGCACGCACCAACCCACAATTCCAATATGGCCACCCCACTTACGCTCACCATGAGACGAAGAATAGACTTACCGATCATGAGAGAAGCCCTCTAAGAGAAGGGAAGGGAAAAACCTGATAATTCATATATTTTACATACTTTTATCCCTCTTATCTTAAGTTTTTAATGCTTGTTTTGATATAATTTAAAATAAATAAGTAATATTTCTGTTAAAGGGCAAAGAAATATTTTTAGAAAATTTTTGAGATTTATTGCATATTTTTTTTTGAATAGTATTTTTAATTCTAAAAATTTATTTTCTATTGATTTTATTATTATTATTTTTGTGTGTAGGTGGTTACATGGGGAAGAGAAGAAGCAATTTTTTATCTTACCCTTCATTCTTAGTTGGCTTTTTCTAATTTTACTTTTTCATTTATTTTCTTCCTTTTTTCATCGATATCTCTATTTGAAAAAAAAAAACAAGGTAACAACTCCTTTGATTTCCTTTGTTTTAGGAAGAATGATTTCATGGTTATTTCGCGGATTGAAACGCGCGGATTATGGGGTATCTTATGTTTTTTTTTTTTTTTTTCCAATCGTTTTTCCTTCCTTTTTCTCGGCAGAAGAGGGAGCATCGTGATTTTTAATTTCTTTGATCATCTTCTCTCAATTTTTGGACCAAAAAATTGGAGGCTTGGAGATGAAGTTTTGCGGCTAAGATCCATCAGTTCCAAGGAGCTTGTAGAGATACTTGAGTGTTAGGGTCTATAAAAAGGAGAAATTCTTTCTATTTAAGTTTATCTATTTCAGCGTTACTTACTTTCAATTTAATTGTTAATTGTTAATTGTTAATTATAGTGATATATATGACTTATTGGATATTCATTTGAGATAATTAAACTTGTAATTTGACTGTTGGACTTGAAAATATTTTTGCTGGAGTTTTTGAAATTCATGGTGAAATTATTTACTTGCCTTGATTTTTCACAATTTTCTTAATTTTACCTTATGTGGTCACTTTATATGCCATTGAGTAGATTGAATTCATGTTTTAAACTAGATTTGAAAGTTGAATAGATATTGTTTTGGACTGTCACCATGTCAAATTAATCAAACTTACATTTTGGCAATGTATTTAATATCACTTGAGTGATTAATCACTAGAAGTTTAATTATTGGTTCGCATTTGTGTTAATTGTTTCTAGCTTGTCTTAAACAAACTTGTGACCATTGAAAGTAGAATTGAACTCATCCCAATTATTTTGACAAGGATAGCATTTTACAAGTCTTTGAAGAACTCTTCATTCACTCTAAAAATACTTATTCACTCATTTGTTTTCATTAAAAAAAAAAATCATAAACGGTAATTAAGTTTTAATTCTTTGTGCTAAGATAATAAAATCAATCAATTTGGTATTGTTTATACACTTGAAATCTATTTCAAATCAATTTTCAATCTAACTCATTAAGGATTTGACTTAGATGACCACTAATTATATTAGTATTTACTTAATATTTTTGATGCATATACGACTGTTGCTTTTTAAAACTCTAACAGAGTATACTTTTATAGGGTCACACCTAACTTGTTCTAATATCTTCGAACTTCTTAAATGTTTTAATTATGAGTTGATACGAGTCTCCTATTATAATTTTGTTCCCCCTCCCCTAATGTTAGTAGGAGAACGTTTAAATTGTAATATTTTCATTTTTATCTTGTTATTATATTTTTATTTTTTTAAGGGTTAAAGGATAATTTCACCATTATATTGCAAGTCTAGGAGTTTCTTTGACCCTAAACTCCTTTTTGGTACAATTAGTATTTCCTTTCAACTTTTACAAACAATACAATATTGCCTCTAATATTAACAAAAATCAATTTTGACTGCTTGTTGATAAGAAAATTACAAAAGAAAAAAATTAAAGTACAAAATTACAAACAAGGATTAAAATTTTTTTTAATTATCTTCCATAATTTTTGATATCATTTTTTTACTTTTTTAATTATAGTCAAAATTAATATTTATCAATAAAAGGGATAATATTATATATTTTTTAAAAATTAATAAAAAATATTATATTAAAAATAAGTTTAAGATGTATGAATACAAATATGCTACTTAACCCAACATTTAAAAAAAGTTAGATGAAATGTAGCCTTTGACTTTTCAAAGTGGCCCAACATGTGAAAGTCAGGTGAGCGCGGGTCCCGGGCATTGAGCATTCCACGTGAGGAAGCAAGCAGCCACGTTAGATCAAAAGGTAGCAGGTTGCAGGTCTTGTTACGGTGGGCTATCGGCGGTCGATCCTTTTTCTTTCCCCCCTTTGTAAAATTGTGAGATGTGAGGGACCAAGCGAAGGCAGAGCCAAGGATTGAATTTGAATGCAGGCGGTGATGCGAGTGAACCAGAGTTTTTGCTGTAATAGCCATTCGACGAAGTTTGATACGAAGATAACGAAAGAAGGAGGAGGAGTAGGAAGATCTGGGTTTGGTTTCTTAGAAGATCCGTTTGTCGGATTCGATCATGCAGTTGCCGGAATCAAGTTGGGAGGAACTGAGAAAGGAATCGCGGAAGATCGAGGGTGATCTTGACGTCAGGCTGTCTTCTTATGCTAAGCTTGGCTCTAGGTTCACACAAGGGGGTTTGTTTTCTTCATGATGTAGCTTACTCCATTCTTCCACTCTCGCTTTGGTACTTCACATATTGATGAATGTTGACTTTATCAGTATGACATGGTGGGTTTGTGTTGGATTTCCCAAGTTGCCATTTCTTTTCCTTAATGCCTCTTAGAATTGCAATTGCTATTTGTCTGCGTTGGGGAGGAGGGGTTAACCCCAATTCTCTTCTTCTTGATTCATTTAATTATGAAGGGAATGGAATTTTCATTTACTCTTCATATTTCGCTTGCTTGATTCTTGTGGTTGCTTAGCAGCTTAGCAAATTTAATTCAAAGCGAGACATTTTTTACTCTACGGAGGAGTTCGGTCGGATCTCTCATTTTTTAGGATTATTTATTGAACTTACTTCTTCTTGTTCGCTATGTTTCATCTTAAGTTTTTTGATTATTGATCGCCACTGTTTGTGGAAAACTGTAATTCAACTTAAATTTGTGGAGAAATAAAATTAAGTTTCTGTCGTTTGGTGTGGCTCCTGTTTATAAGCTGAAAATGGTCTATTTAATGAGTCAAGGAGATCTAATAACAGCAGACAGAAAGCAATATGTTGTAATTTTCCTCCAGGGAAGCTTGCCTCCCTAAAAAGTGGGTTTTCGCTCTCAAGATGAATATCAATGATGAAGATATCCCCAATATTTTTCACCCCTGTGCTCTGGGTGGGGCCTGGGAGTTATAATTCCTATTTTCTCTCACTTTATAAGCTATAAATTGGTTGGGTGTTTCTTTGTTTGTCTTGGCAGTACATTTTCAGAATGTATGTCACAACAGTCACTTTACAACAGTGCAGGGACATTAGTGGTTATGCACTTTTCTTTTCTGAGCAACTTTTATATCTCTTCTTCTCTTTCCTGTAGCTGTTGCTTCGCATGCTATTTTCTCCTTGTTAATCAGTTCCTATACATTATCTTTTCCTTCTGGTTATTGTGGCTTTGGCTGTTAGTATTGATGTCTTCTTGTAAGGAGAGCATTGATAAAATATTTACTTCCAGAAGCATGAAGAAATAATTCCTAGCTCAATTCCATCATATTAAGGTCTTACAAGGTGGCTGCTAAAACTGCACTTTAGGATTGGTAGCTGTATATAGTTACAGAAGACTATAATAACCTCAAGTGCATTCTGTCTCTTTGTATTTCTTCTAGTAGAGTATTTGTTATTAGATATAGCTTGTAGTCAGTGCTTAACTGCTTATTTTTTTTATTCATCTATGATTGAGCAGTTTCCACCATTTTCTGGCACTGGGATTGTGGTGTTTAATTTTCTAGCTCTGCCAGTCTTATACATGTGTATTAATCTAACTTCTTCTATCAGGTTATGTGGATGGTGTAGAATGTCTAATATTACTTGTAAATTGCCTTATGTTGCTTGTCAAGTCCACAACGTTACTTGTCAAACACCTAACCTGTGTAAATCTATACACAACTTATTAAATTACTAACTTCACAAGTAAAATGTCTTGTAAAGTATAATGTATTTGCCTTCAAATTAATATAAATTTCTTTAACTTCACTTGTAAATTGTGAAACCCTTTTGTTGCTTGTTAAGACTAGAATATTACTTGTGCAATATTCATTCTATGTAAAACCATCCATGACTTGTTAAATCACTAGTGTAACCTGTAGAACATATAACATTACTTGTAAGTTGTTTTACATTGCTTGTCAAGTCCATAATGTTACTTTTCAAATACCTAACCTGTGTAAACCTATGCATGACTCATTAAATTACTAACTTCACAAGTAAAATGTCCTGTAAAGTTTGATAATGTACTTGTCTTAAAATTAATGTAAATTCCCTTAATTTCACTTGTAAATTCCATTATGTTACTTTTTAAGATTGAAATATTACTTGTCCAATATTCATCCTGTGTAAAATCATCCATAATTTGTTAAATTACTAACATTACTTGTAGAAATAACATTTAATATTACTTGTAAATTGTCTTACGTTGCTTGTCAAGTCTGTCATGTTGCTTGCAAACATGGCTTCTCTCATGCTGTGTACTTTTGTTTGAACACTAGGGGTGATAATATCATTTTGCCATGAAACTTAGTATCATGTTTGTTTTCGAAACCTGCATAGTTATTTCATAAATATTTGGGTGTAATTGGAAAATATTTACCTACCATGTCTTGAAATGAAATTCTCCCAAAAAAATAGGAGGTGGCCATGCACCCATGCCTCTCCTCCCATTGCTTTGAGGACATGAACTAACACACCACGAAGGAGCATGAGGCGCCATTGTTTGACAATTTTCAGCAATTCTTGTGGGTTTAGAGAGAGTCGAGTTTTAGAGGGAGGAAGAGATTAGAGAGAGAAGACCTTCTGAGTAGGAGAAGAAGAGAGGAGGAATTTGAATGAGATAAGAAGATAGAAGAGGGAAGCATAAATTGAGGGCAGAAAGAAGGAAGTTGCAGCAATCGAGGTGAATTGCATTGTGCAAGCAAGAGAATGATTCGAAGCACTTATGCATGTAATGATTCCTTGCTCTTTCCAGCCTCATCTTTGTTGTTACTAGCTTAATTGTCTCTGCTTAGGTAATGGATACTGTGGTAGTTGTTTTGTTGAAATACATATACACGATTTGGCATGATTCGCACTTGGCTAGATTATGTTTGGTGCTTCTTCTAAGATATGCCCACAAAGTGTTTGACAAAGTGCTCGTGAGTGTCTTTTTGGTTGAAATTGGACGTTAAAATTGTAGTCTGGGTTGCTGTTTCAATTAATAATGAGACATTGCTACATTTCCTAAGGATTAACCATTGTACTTATAACATAGATTCTCCTGCAGCTTGCTTGAGTTATTTTGAAGCTGCTGCAATGTTTCAACATTCTAGTAGTGTTTTATAGTGAATTTCATGTTTTTGCTATAGGGATTACAGCCAGCCTAGAACATGAAAGCATCCCCTCATGTACATTATTGAGTGATGATATTTTACATCAATTGTGCCTGCTTAGGATGTTTTTAAGATGATGGTTTTACATGTATACTTGTGGCTACGGTAAGCTATTAGCTCTAATGGCATGCTATTTGCTCTTATGATCAATTACATGTCTTTCTCCCAATAGCCTATTCTGGTTAAACTTATTGAATTTGTTATATTTTCTATGGATAAAATTATAGAGACCTGACCCTGTTCATAATATTTGAAGATTGCAAATTTATTTTTATTTATTGCTATTTTTCATTTTTGTCATGTTGAAATAAACCAACCTTTGAACAGACCTTATCATTTGCTTGATTTGCAATGCTTTCTATATGAAAACATGCTTCCTTTCCTTTGCTGATTTTATGATATCTAGTTAATGTGATACTCCTTTTAGTTAACGCCCTTTTTTTTTTTTGGTGACTATTCGTAGCTTTTAACCAATTTTTCTTGTTAAGATGCAGATCTTGCATATGACAAAAGTTTTGTATGGTGGCATTTTCCAATGCTTATGGATGGAAGCCATTGCATAATATAATGGCCACAGATGCCATGGGGGGTCTAGAATGGAGCGAGCTGACTGAGGTTTTGGTTATTTTGTGAAATAAGAATGATATTGCTATGCATGAGTTCCCGTTCCCTTTTCACTTCTTTCAAGCATTTAATTACTCCATCAATTCTGTCTTGTTGGTACCACTCATCGCCCCTCCCCCATTTCACCAATGCACCACTGGTTGATGCTCTTCATGCAATGGCTCTCAAGAATGCTTCTCTTCAATCTTCTTACTCTGCCAATTTTCTCTTGACTCTTTATCTCAAATCCTACAATTTGGAAAGCGCTCATAAGCTGTTTGATGAAATTCTCCTCAAAGACACCCACACGTGGTCCATTCTCATATCAGGTTATGCTCGATCTGGCTCTTCCTTCATGGTCTTTACCCTTTTCAGAGATATGTTGGCAGCATTTACAGCTCCAAATCAATATACATTATCCAGTGTCTTCAAGTGCTGCTCCATTGGAAACAATATCCGGTTTGGTAAGGCAATCCATGCATGGATGCTGCAAACTGGTATTGATGGAGATGTCGTGCTGCATAATGCTATGCTTGATCTTTATTTGAAATGCAGAGATTTTGAATATGCAAAGAGATTATTCAAGTTGATGGAGGAGAGAGATGTTGTGTCATGGAATATAATGATTGGTGCATATATGCAAACAGGAGATGTGGAGAAATCTCTTGACATATTCAGGAACTTGCCTTACAAGGATGTCGTAAGTTGGAATATAGTCATAGATGGACTGCTGCAATGTGGTTATAAAAGATATGCATTGGAGCAACTCCATTTTATGATGGAAAGTAGAGTTCAATTTTCTGCTGTCACTTTTTCCGTAGCTCTTACGTTGGCATCTTCTTTATTCCATTTACCACTAGGCAGACAACTTCATGGGCGTGTTTTAAAATTTGGCGTTAGTGGAGATGGTTTTATAAGAAGTTCACTTATAGAAATGTATTGCAAGTGCTCAAGAATGGATAAAGCATCTCTAATCCTCAGAGAAATTCCCCCGACTTTTCTAAAATCACAAATTTCTGGAGTTTCTTGTAATGAACCAGTGGATGAAATAGTTTCATGGAGTTCAATGGTTTCTGGCTATGTTTCTAATGGCAATTTTGCAGAAGGTTTAAAATTATTTAAGATTATGGTTTGTGAACTGGTTATAGTTGACATTCGGACCATCACAAGCATTATTTCTGCTTGTGCCAACACAGGAATTTTGGAGGTTGGTCGGCAGATCCATGCCTATATTCAGAAAGTTGGACATGGAATAGATGCTTATGTGGGTTCGTCTTTAATTGATATGTATTCTAAATCTGGAAGTTTGGTTGATGCTATTATGATTTTCAAACTAATTAATGATCCAAGTGTTGTTTTGTGGACTTCAATGATATTTGGTTATGCCTTGCATGGTCAAGGGAGGCAGGCCATTTGTCTTTTTAAAGAAATGATTAATCTAGGCATTACACCAAACGAGGTTACCTTCTTAGGGGTTTTAAATGCTTGCAGCCACGAAGGGCTCCTTGAAGAAGGTTGCAAATATTTTGAAATGATGAGAGATGTTTATTGCATTGACCCTGGACTTGAACACTTGACTTGTATGGTTGATCTTTATGGTCGAGCGGGGTGCTTACTTGAGACGAAGAAGTTTATTTTTGATCATTGTATCTCTCACCTCAGTTCTGTATGGAAATCATTTTTGTCTTCTTGTCAACTCCATAAAAACGCTGAGATGGGAAAGTGGGTTTCTGAGATCCTGCTTCAAGTTGCACCTTTTGATGCTGGAGCTTATATTTTGTCATCAAATATGTGTGCTGACAATCGTAGATGGGATGAGGTTGCTAGGGTAAGGAGTTTAATGCATCATAGAGGTGTTAAGAAGCATCCTGGTCAATCTTGGTTGTAGCTAAATGACGAAGTCCTTTGTCATTGGAGATAGGTGCCCGCACAATTTAAGGACAGGCACGCTTACACACACTCACATTTGGATTCTTTAAATGGAAGATTGAAGTTACTAGGATATTCCCTTGCGTGGAATTAGTCATGTAGGATATTAGATGAGGAACAAAGGGAAGTACTAATTGGTTACCACAGTGAAACACCTTTAGTATATCTTTGGAAACATTAACTCTGCCCTTAATACACCATTTGGATGAGCCTCTGCATGATATATTAGATTTTCCTTCTTCTGGCCGGTTTCAGGAAGTATGTCACCAAGGAAGCAGTTGCTATGGGAGAGATCTGCAATCCGTGGAAGTATATCTCATGTAAGTATGTATTCTATTAATAGATTAATAGATATTTCATTGATTCTTAATATGTAATCCATCAGTCTTTCTTAATATGTAAAGCATGAAATGTTTGTTACAATTGGTGGTTCATAATTGAAATCAATGATTTAAAAACCGGACGGTTAGATCATAATGGCTTGGTTTGGATTAAAAAATTGTTTTCATGATTGAGCCAGATTGAATTAGAGTTAAGCTGTTATTGAGCTAAAAATCGGAGTTGAATTGGAATTGGAGTGGTTTTAAGAAAATCGGGCAGTTTTAAACATAATATTAAAAAAAAAAGCTTAAATTTTTTAAAAAAAACGAGAAAAATTCAAAAATTAGACCTACTAAAAGTCAAGTTTATTTTTGGACAATTCACATGTATAAAATATAATTTGAGATCTTTTTTTTTATAAAGATGATAATTATAGATATAAATACAAATACTTTTGAATCTATTCATATTTAATTTAATCAAAATTCATTTATATTTGACAAGTCATAAAATTATAATTTATAATATTATTAATTTATAGTTATGTTATTTTATTAATATATTACAGATTTTTTTCTTGTTTATATTTTTGTATATATACATTTAATGTTATTTTTATTTAATTATTATGTCATCAGTTCCATTATTGGTCAAATCCGGTTCAACCATGTAAACTGTGAAGTGTTCACCTTTCCAATTCAATATCCAATCTAATTATAAAAACATTGATTAAAATTGAAATTTATACTATAAATTAGAAGATTTTACTATGCTGATTGTACCCATTCTTCTCATTGCGCTTTAAGTCTGACCAAAGTTGAATGATGCTTGTTCACTTTTTAGCTGTCAGCCATGTTATGATCTTACAATCAAATATGTTGAATTTCATTCATAGATAACAGCGATACATATAGGGGAGGAGAGATAAAATCAGAATAATAGATGAGATCATAATTGTATCAAATCTCCTCACTAATCTGAAAAATAAAGACTAGATAATAAATCTGATCTAATCCCTAATAATTTGCTGGCTAATAAATATAAAGATAATAACAATTAGATCTAGGGTCAGGTTTAGTGCTGCGAAAACCAGTGGCTTCAAAATGTCAAGATTAAAAAAAGTTAAAAAAAGAAGGAAAAATCGGTCAAAAAGATCTGGTTAGAACCACAATTGGTCCTAGGGATCAAATATACTTTAAGAATCAAGCTTAATTTTTTATTCATTTAACAATGTTATCATCTGATCAAAATACCTATCTTAAACAAAGAAATTTAAAAAAGAAAGCCACCCTTTCTTTCTTTCTTTGCATGATTTAGAAAACCACAAGAGTTTAAAGTGTTGTGCAATGGCCGGCAGTGAGGGATGGATTTGATGGAGGAGCAACGATGATCTAAGGTATGAGTGAGTTGTGAGTGACAAGTTTTGAGAAAGACAACTCCGTTGGAGAACTGAACGATTGAAGAATTGGGGAGACGAAGCGATGATTGAGTAGTCATGATGGACGGCATCAATGGAGGAGCAATTAGTGATGTGAGTGAGGATTTGTTCGAATGATGTTTAGAATGATTGAAAAGTGGTGTGCATCTTCTTGATGCTCTTGAAATTAAATATTCTTCATATTGCTCCTTTCTTTGAATATTGAGTTTCCTTTACAAGTTTACGTTCATTTAATTATTCTTTATTTGCACTTTTTTACTTTATGTGTGAAATAGTGTCAAGAAAGATTGATGACAAATACCATCATGAGACTTCAATGAATGCCTCCAAATGAATATTGCAAAAGCAATGTTAGTTTAATGCATTTGGCTTTAAAATTTAGAACATCTAACATTAAGAATCTATAAGTATTTTTATGGTTGATATTTGTTACTCTTCACATGCCCTTTTTTAAAAGAAAGTGTTGCATCTGATATGCAAAAGGATTGAGTAGCTTTGTTATCTTTATTTACAAGTTTTAAGTGTTCAATAGCATATTAATATCTCATTTTTAGCTTTTGAAAATGCTCTTGCTTTAATATGTGGGGTTATAACAATAAGTTGTATTGAAAACTTAGGATATCTTTATTTCATTAATTAATGCTATTTCAGATTGCAGCTTCCTCTTAATTTTGTATACATGCATTGGTCATCTGAGGGAGAATTCACTGCATTTGTTGATCTAGATATAAGAATTATTGTTTTTCATAGAAACTAAATTATATTCTTTTTTTACCTATTATCATTAATATTGCATTTTTCAAATGATAAATCACTTATTTAGTTTGTGTGGAGCAAGCAAACATAGACAAAATGCTTGAGCCAAATAAGTGGCAGGGTACATTTAATAGTAAATGAAAGATTTTTGGCATCCATAAGACACTCAAGTTGATAATTTTGGGGGTATGTTGTTTGCATTACTATTCTTTTTCTCTTATGATTAAATTAAGGTATGAGTATTTTAGCCATGTCAGGTAAGAGATATTTGTAAGCTTTGAGCATTTTACATGCTTAAAAATAGCTTGTTGAATCTTAAGTTGTTATTAATATTCTTAAGTTGGCATGAACGTTCTCATATCGTTTATGAGATTTACATCCATCATTTTATCTATGTGCCCAAAATGATATTTTGTTCTTGTTATTGTGTATTAATGCTTAAATGACTCATTTGTTATGGCTATTAATTTTTATTTTAGGCATAATGTTTTATATGCATCAAAGCATAATGTTATGTTTGAAGAAGAGAAAAAAATAAGTTTAAGTCAAGAAGCTCTTGCATGCATCTCATAACTCAAGTGAGTTATAAGGAAATGCTGATCAAGGGACCCTAGAAGATTGAATGAAAATGTGATAGTATTTTGAAATGTACTTATGGCCATCCTCCTTATAAGTTTTTTTTTTTGGTATAGGACAGGATGTAGTTTAATATGTGTATGATGTTCTTGCCTCCCATGATATATATGGGGTGCCTTATAATGTTTATTTATCATTTTGATTGCACTTGATAAAAAGACAGGCTGAACTTAATGGAATTGTTGTTGTTTCATCTAAGTTTTTGTTGTTCATTCTCTCTCTTCACAATTACTTGATTTTAGGGACAATTTAGTTGCCTTCCATGTTGTATTATTGAATTCATATTAGTTATAGGTTAATATGGCTTGCTATATAATATATAATACTTAAACGTTCCCTTATTTGTTTTTTGTGTAAGATGTGATGTAGTTGAAAATGGGCATGATGTTGTTCTTATCCCCATGACATTTTTTTTGATTTGGGGAGCCTTATGGTTTTGTTTATCATTCAGTTTGTATTTGGCACAATAACAAACCTAAATTAATTGAATTGTTGTTTCTTTCATATTTTTGTTGTTCATAGTCCCCTTAGGCATTTACTTGTTTTTCATTAAAAATTCAGTTGTCCTATAGATCGGGTTTAGAAAATGTCCTCATATTTTAGTCTGCTGAAATTTAATGGAAGCATGAAGGGGGTGATGTGGAGAATTGGATCGAGAGAATGGAGACAATCTTTGAGGTCACCTTGTGTTCTTTTGAGTAGGTGATATTGGCTACTGTACAATTGGTAGAAGATGCTAAGTACTGTGGAATTTAGTGAGGCCCTTTGATGGTAGTCGACTTAGCTGAGATTAGTTCAAGGAAAAGTTCTTCAACTATCATTTCTAGGCTTTGTTTAGAGATGAGAAGGAGGCAAAGTTTTATGCCTTCTAGCAGGGTGATCTGGACGAGGACGTATTTGTGAAAAAGTTCAATCAGCTTTCTAGGTTTATGACCTATTTGCATGACAGGATGACAGTAGGTGAAAGGCGAAGAGACTTTTAGAGAATATGTGCTCAAAATACAAGAGGCAAATAGCCTTATTGAATTATGCCACATACAAAGAAATGTGTAATCGACTTCGTATAGCTATAAGGCGGGGTCGAGAGATAAAGATAGAGACAGAAAAGAATAGGGACAATTATGGACAGTGTTCTACTCCTTTGGGTCCTTCAGGAGGGGTACCAAAGAGGAACAATACTAGTGCCAGCGATTCTGGATCCTTAGGCAAGAGAATTTTTAGTAGAGGATCATCACCTTAAGGTATGGTTGGTTAAAGCAGGAGGATTGGTGGGCCAGGAATTCTGAGGCTCCACAGTATTCGAGTCAGATAGTCACTACATTGACTTCTCGAGTGAGCACTATATGCTCACCTGTTTGTGCCATTGTGGGAGGGACCATATTGGGAGGTGTTGGACGTGTTATATATGTGGTGATACAAGCCATTTTGCAAAAGATTGCCCAAGGAATAAAGGTGGGGTTTCTAAGTAGTGATCGATTGTGCAGGGCTCAGTGTATACAATTTGTTGGCAGGAGGCTTAAGCAGTGTCAAAATTTGATCACAAGTAAAATCTCTATTCATAGACAAGAGAGTGAGGCATTATTTGATTCTGATGCCACTCATTTATTTGTGTCCCATGAGTGTCAAAAAGTTGTGTTTGCTAGTGCATGAGCTTTCTTTTATAGTGAAGTGTTTACACCATCAAGGTTACTTACTAGACAAGACTAGGAAGGTGTATATGGGAGTGGAATTGTGCTTTAAGGATTGGATGTCTATGGTGGATCTGATCTTAATTCCTATATAAGGATGGATGTAATTATTAGGATGGATTGGTTGACGGTTAATAATGCTACCTTAAATTGTGCCAGGAAGATGGCGGTTTTGTTACCAATTCATGTGACCCTTGTTGTGACTCATTCAGTAACCTCTGGTCAGTCTAGATTTCTTTCAGTGGAGCAAGCAAAAATATTGGTTTCTAAGGGCTATCAAATGTATGTGGTTTTCTTTTTAGTGCAAGGCAACAATGATGAAAGTGTTGGTAAAATTCGAGTTACAAAAGAGTTCCTAGATGTGTTTGCGAACTAGATCACGGGTTTACTAACGAAATGAGAGGTGAAATTCTCAATTGATTTAGTGCTTGGTACCTAGCCAATTTCAAAAGCTCTGTATCATATGGTTTCTTTTGAATTGGTAGAACTTAAGAAACAACTTAAGGAGATGTTAGAGAAGGCTTTCATATGCCTTAATGTGTTGCCTTGAGGTTCACTAGTCCTAATTGTGAAAAAGGATGATAGCTATAACATCCCATTTTCTACCTCAAACTTTACTTACACAACCACACATCACAATACAATTACAACGCAATAAATATAGACAAGCCCTTAATTTTTTTTTTAAATGTGGGATCTTGACTTCGTTTGTAAACATGTCAAATATAAATTCAAAGTTTAATAAAAAAGGCTTACGGAAGCGTAGATGCATGCCTACTTCTTAAGAAAATTAATGAATTACTTTTCTAAAAAACATGCCATACACTACGGCATGTACCACAAGTTTTGCAGCATGCCATCTTGCACCATGGTGCATGTATTAGAATCTATTGTCATGACAAATTTCTAATACAAACTTCCTTGCTTCTAAATGTTGATAGAGGAATCCTTACTTCTAAATGATAATGGCAACTCACTCAACTTCTCCCCTTTGGTTGAAACAGTAATTACTCAAGACAACTATTTTAAGTAATATAATTTTACTAATTCAATTCCTGCTAATTGCAAGCCCCTTAAGTAACCTCACTAGCTTAGCTCAAGGATTAACCAAGTGATTAATCAAATTTCTTCTTCTAAAGCCACAGTCAAGAGCACACTCAAGCACAAGACTATGTAACTTACGCAATTCATCAAGCATTTACCAAACAGTTATATGTTAGGTCAATACAAGACATTTACTATTTGAAATCATATATTACAATGCAAATTCACACAGTTGCTAAAATTTCCAACAATAAAAGGAGATGAAATTCAAGTAAACAACCTTGTTTCAACACAAACATTTACAACCAACTATGAAACAAAGTCAAATTAAATTATAATCAACTATAGTCATAGTATTCTAGTGAAATTGAAACAAGATGAGGAAAAATTTGAGCTTTGCGAAAAGTAGTCTTCAATGCTCCTCTTCCATCAACTCCTCCCTAGAATTTCAATGGAGAATTTGGCTTGAACTCATCAAGATCATCTTGCTCCTTTAAGAAACCAACATGGTTGTGTGGTGCTCCATGATAGAAAATGAATCCCAACTTTAATCTCTATGAAATTGGTAGGGATGAGGTTGGCTCAATGAGAGGAGTGGAATGGTGGTGATTTTATGGAGGTTTGATGGCTAGAAATGAAAATGGAGGTGCTGAAAAATTAGAGTTTCTAGAGAGAAGGTGGAGAAAATGAAGAACAAGATGAACTAGAAAAAGAAAATGAAAGAGATGAATGAGTGTATGGTAATTGAGTGTTTGAATATGAAAAATATGATAAAATGCTGAGGAGGACGTGTTTTGCATCTGACTTGGCTCTAGATATTAATTTAAAAACAAATTAAAGTCTAAGGGAAAACTTCACACTTTGTGCACATGCCCTTAAGTGACACATTCTCATTTGTTGGGTAATAATTCCTATTCTCGTCTGAATATTCCCATGCTTTACACTCAAAAAATCTGATCTACCCATCAT